CTTCTCCCATATTTCACTTCTCCATTTTTCTCTTCCTAAGGGTTACTAAACACTTAAATATCACTTACCGGCTCCCTCTTTACTCTTGTCAAACCTACTGTAAGAAATGCAGATTTTACATACACATTTTATTTCCTTAGCAACAAGCATAAAGCTTCACAACCAAATCATTTTAAAACAGTGGCATACTGTGTTTTATTTAACCTCAATTAAGATTCAAGACTCTGGGGGCTGGGCTGGCAAGCTGTGCTGGGGCTTGCAACATTTGCTCTATTCTTTGTGGCTACCTCACATTAAATTTTCACATCCTCAGCCAAATACATCAAAACCTTCACTATACACAGACTCATGGACACTTGTGTGTAAAAACATGTGAAATCTCTTCCGAATGACCTGCAGCCTCTTGAAATGTCATTAGGAGACCTAATGGGGCAAGGAGCAGGGGTGGTGGGGATGGAGCCAGGAAGTGTTTAGATATTGTAATTTAAATATTTTTAAATGAGACAATGTCAGAAATTTGTTGAATCACTGTTTCCGTTGAAATTTAAAAAATGTTAACGGCACTGAGTATTAAAGTGGCATTGACTAAGGTATACTAATGTCTATAGGCAGAAAGGAACATTTCTATAGATATAAAATAGGAATGGTATTGGTCATCTACTAGAGATAGACAACTATCTCTAAATCAGTCCAATTTATTTTAAATATTAAAGAATGAACATTTGATGGAATATTAACAAAGCTGATTTAAATAAATTCTTACATTTCAGCAAATCTACGGGAGAAGTTATGACAGAACACAATTTTATGTAATATGCCTAAATAAGCTATATCCTATGAACATATCAAAAGGTAGTATAAGTGGGTAACATGTAAGATGTAGAGAGGTTTATCTTCAGTACACTGTGCAAATAATATTGGATTTATTCAACTACTTGATGTATGTAGTTTTAGCTACTTATATGAAATATTTAAAGCTTTAAAAATCTAAATATTATTATTAAAACTTCCCACAAAGATTTCAGCTCAGCAATCATGTCACACAGGCTATGTTAAATCAGTTTCGTAAAGTGCTTGGCTCCATGCCACAGGGCAGAATGGCTCTAAGTGTACTTGGTGAAGGCATGTCCCAGGTACATACTCTTAACTACTTTCAGGTTGAGGAAGAATCACAGCCACAAAATACTTGTCAACATTGCAGAGTGTAGTACTTGAATGCACCAGGGTGGTCATGCAATGAGACTCCTGGCCCAGAGTACAGAACGAAAGGGAATGGAATAATCTTTAGCCAGAGGGGGCTGCCCTGAATTGATTTAGTCTGCTCTTTTCTGCTTATTTGAGGAGGGCTACTCCTTGTAGCTTTACAGAAAAACCATCCTCATTCTTTAAGTATGACAATTTTATTCTAGTAAGAAGAAAAACAATAGTTTCATAATAAAACACTTCATCTTCCACAAATACAGTGCATGGCTGCTGTGTTTGTGTTTCTCACTTAGGTTTTTAAAAACTGACAGTGTTAAGTAAAGACAAGATGAAGATTAGTTTCCATTTTTTTATTAAAGTTGTGTTTGTTCTAAGGAATATATTACACTTAAAGTTCAATACCATAAATAAAGATTAGCTCTTAAGTCTTCTATTTATCAAAAATGTAAACATAAAATTATTCATCACTCCCTCCCCAACCCTGACTAAATGTATATATTTAAAAAATGGTCATCCCTTTAGGTAAGTTCTTTCTTCAGAATGAATATTACAGACTTTGTTAAAATATGTTACTCCTGGGCTGCAAGGACATGGCACAAATGACTGGTGCCCACTATAAAACAGGTCTGTGGGGCTGTGACTGCTGTCCACCTCCTTCTGCCAGGACTATTCTAATGCCCTCAGAGACGGGCTCTTCTCTTTCCATTCAGTGTCCAAGGACATGGACAGTGCTAAGGCATCAAGCAAAGACACTGATGAACATGATGTGCAAGCTGGCTTACTCTGAGAGGTGGATCAGAGCCAGCAGTGACCTAGCATTCTGGATAAGTATTAGTTATAGAATATTAGAGCTAGAAAGAGTCTGAGAAAGCATCTAGTCATTTTACAGATAGTCTCAATCAATGGGTCTTCTATATTAGAGACTACTGGTAAAATTTTATAGAATATTCTGGTATACTTATTCATGTTTCTTCCTAAAACTAAACTTCACTAATTTGTTTCATCTTCAAACACTGATAAACTCTAAGCCAACATACTAGGCTGAAACTAATTTTAAGCAAAATTTATAACATTTTTAGAATGTCTATTTGGTCTTAACACAAATAAGTATCCTTAAGAAATAAGGTTAAAGGATGTTCTTCAGAATAATATTAAAGGATTTACCTTAAGACTTCCTAACTGCTTGCCAGTTTCTTTAAAGCTGTCAGCTCAAATCTTCTGACATGGCTTTTGCTTCCTTCCTATGAATTCTGTTCTTGAAAACCTGAGAGACAAATTCACTTGATACAGTTGGGACCTTAATACTATCAAAATGAACCTAAGTCTGAACTGAAAACTGAGGTAGTCAGTTTTTGTAAGCACTTGACCCTTACTGAGTTAGAAGGGAACTCCAGTCTACTATCCCCAAATCGGCTCCTCTCCATGCTCCTTCCCTACTTCCACTTGCACTTTGGTTGCAGTCTGCTCAGTCTTTTTCTCAGGGAGCTGGTTTTACTAACATGAAGGGTATAACCTGCAATAGGATACTGACATTTAGGCCATTTCAAATTCTTCAGTTCAAAGCTGAATTCCAGCCCACTACTTCTGCATTGAAATCTCAGATTTTAAAAGTCTTTGTTTTTAGAATACTGTCATAATCTAAGTGACTAAAACATGCTTCTTAAAATTCCTTACAGGTTCAGTGGCCTTCTACATCTTCACTGAGTAAGCTATACAGAATCAGTGATAAGCAACCACTTTCAAGACTTGTTGAAGAGGAAGGAAGACACCAGCACATTTAGTTACCCTCAGAAACTCAAGATTTCTTAACATCATACTTTATCAAGTTTCATATTTGTGCAGAGAAAACACTGGGCTACCAGATTCCAAGCTTAATAAATATATATAGAAAAAATGTCCTCTATAATATTTTCTCCAGAAAGTCATTAGTGCAAATATAATTATATCAATAAAAAATAAAGCAAAAATATATTTCAAGTATAAAAAGCACCATGCTCAGAAACAATACTTCCTAAATGGCATTACTGCACAACAGTCAAAATATAGTCAAACTTATCATTGTAAATCTCAAATGTATTATTAATCCATAGTATTTTTGGTGAAATTCTTTATACAACTTTGCAGGATGATTCACAATCACAATAGGTATGTAAGTTTAGATTTCTATGATATTCTTTAAAAATATACTCTACTTTTCTCTGACCTTGCACAATTTAAAGTATACATGACATAGGCAGAAAACCAAGCACTGGCCTGACACCTTTACTCTCGGCTTCTCTTTAGCTGAAGGTGGATATGGTAGAGACCTCCAGCTCTTCACAACAACAAATATCTTCAATTCAAACTGTATATTTAAATACACATTTAAAATTTACGCATAAAAAAAGGTGACTTTCTTTTATGCCGGGTTTGCTCTTTGGCCCCAGTGCCAAATAGCTGGAATTATTCTTTAGTAATTATGCTACTTGCTCATTTAGCACAATTTCTTAAATAGAGTGCTCAATAACTATATGCTGAATTAAAGGGCCAACCAGTGAATAAATGAATAAAATCCTGTGGCATTATAAACACAGCTTGTCCAAGGGCTATGTTTTATAATGCCACAGAATTTTACTAGCTTTAGAGAGAAAAACTGGGCATCACACATCATTGCAAAATTTAATTAGTAAAGTGGGGTTGGTAAGCTCTGGTACCAGAGCAGAATTGCTTCTGTGGACCAGAATCTATGTGGTAACAGAAGTGTCAGAAGCAGGAGGTAAAGGACATCAACTCCTTTTAAAGCAAAGGCAACCTCCCAACTTCTGTGGGCTGAGCCACATTTGCGTGGTAAAGCAGACAGACCCTATCGCAGAGGCCCTACACCAAACCTACACTTTGCTGTCAGTAAGCAATTCAGACCATCTTGCTTCGACTTATATTCTTCCTCTTATACATAAAATATTTTCAGATAGTTCTTCTGAAACAATTTCTAAGCCTACGTGAAAATAACTGCATACTTGTCTATACCAGAATTTCTTTTTATCTTCATTGTTCAAAAAGGAATAGTTCTATTTTTGTTGGATGACAGTTGTTGTAACTATTATCTGGAAAATATACAATTATGTTTTCTTCTGTTTTTATGTCTTCAATGTTTTCATAGGGCAGAGTATTTTTTCTCTCTCTGCTTCCACAGTTTTTCAATTCATTATTAAACTAATGGAAAATACAATTAGAATCAGAGCTCTTAAGACCAATGAGTAACAGACATAGCTGGAAGAAGGGCTACAAACACAATGATTCAGTAGCAAACTACTACACAGCTAGTTTGAAAAAGGCAAGCATGGTTAAATCATAACATTTAGCAAACTGTAATTTTAAAAAAGACTTTTTAGAACAATGATTTAAGTGTACCATGTACAGCCATTAAATTCAAAATAGTTATAATAGTGATGTAGAAATCTCAATCCAATTATCCTTCTAGGGACAATTTATACTTCTAGGGACAGGATCCACAGGTTATAATCTTGCAATAATTAGCTGTTCTTTAAATTATTACAGTATTGATAAACTTTCACATTGTTTTACGTTAATGAAAATGCTGAGGTATGTAATCTGAAAATTTCACCAATTATCTCATTTTCAACGGAAAACTTTAGGAAGGTTATGTATCCTGAAAAATAAAAAGACTTGGTGACTTGGAATTTGTTCTCCTTGTTCAAGTTCTGAGGCTGTTGCGTTGACGATGAAGAGTGACTGCTGTGAAGCTCTGCTTCAAGGTCTGATAGGGGTCAATACTTCCAC